GTGTGCGTCTCGCTGGATTCGCGATAGTTGCTGCGACGGAAATGTGATCCATGTTTATTGAAAGGTTTGAATGTGATTCCACGAGCATATGGGCTCACGCAAGCAGGGGCTCCACGGATACATGTGAAGAGATGAGTCCGCCCAGGGAGCTGCGTCGTTCTTGGGCCCGCATTGAGCTGGACCAGCCGAATGGACATGGACCGGCACGACACGCCCAGTAAGATTGAGTGCGTCTTTCGTGCCCTAGCCCACGGGTGGACAGTCAGGGATGATGACGAATGGAGAAACGGGCGCGCCAGGGTTAAAAGTGACATCCCAACGTATGCAATGAGACCGGCCGCGTTTGCAATCCGAATGCAATCAGATAACGCAGGAGCTGGATTCGAGGAATACGCGGGTCATCGGCCGCAGCTGCGATGGAGAGCAGCGGCCAACAAGCAGGAGGATAGGGGCGCGATGAAAAGTCTCTGCAACCCGAGTCTGCGGCACCTGGAGAGACCCTCGGAGTTGGATCGGGGATGGCGCGCGAGATCGGGGGCGGGTCAGCTGGCGCGGAAGGGCCGGGCACTGCCGCGGCATCTGACCCGGCAAACCGGGCTGCCCGAGGAAGCGAGGGGGATGGAGCGCGACGAGGCTGGGACAGGCGACGGCGGTTACAGTCATGGAACACACTCTGGAACAGGCGGTAGCTCCAAGAGGGGCCACCGCGCGCCTCCGAGGATGACTGTTCTTGCGTGTATCCTCCGATTGGGAGGGCGAGGCGGATGTGGGAGTTATTCTGGGGGCCGAGATGACGGGGTTGCGTCCTCATCCGGGGACCAATGGACCGATTCGAGCTCTTTGTGGGCCAGCGGAGACACTTGGCGCTGACTCCGATGGATGGTCGACTGGTCACCTGCGACAGAATCGCACTGACTGCGACGCAGGAGCGGGGTTTCGTAGGCAGGCTCTCTTGGTGAGAGCTCTTGGGGTAAGAGCTCGAAGGGCGGCGCGGGAGGTCAAGTTGAACGAGGTCGAAGCATGTCGCGGGGAAGGATGGCTCTGGCTGAACGAACAGGGCTGAGCGCGCCGAGGGCCTGTCGAATGCAATTTCGGGTTGTAGCGAGCTGCCTGGCCTGGGCCGCTGCAGCAGGAGCAAGGGCTACTTGAACGGGCTGCGCTGTGGAATCGTTCATGGGGTTGGCGCGCCCAGACGAGGTGCCCGAAGGCTGGCGCTCGCAGCTCTGGCGCCGCAGAGCCCGCCGTCGGAGGAGTCGTCACCGTCGCCCCCTGCGGCACATGTAATGCGCGAGCACGTGCTCGGAATATCGCGCATGTTGGCTCACTTGACTTGTGAGGATCGGGCGCGTTCGCGCCTGGGCGAGAAATTGGCGCGCTCGCCATCCGTAGCGCGCGCATCTGAATCTGCGTACAATACCGGAACAGAACCGCCAAGTCGCATAACATCGCTAACGAACCAGAGCTCGGAAATCAGACCAAGGAGCACGCCCGATCGTCGGGGAATGTCAAGTACTTGACGAATTGCAAAATGTGCGTCTGCCTCCCGCGACGACCCCAGGTTTTCCAGGGACGCCCAGGTGGCTGAGGCCCAAAATGGCCCGACTTGCTGGGGGCATTTTGGGCCAGGAACATTTTCATTGAAATCCGACGTCACGAAAAATGTGGCACACCGTGCAACATCGCAATCGGAGCCCTAGACCCCGTCTCCCTGCGGCGTTTCTCGAGCCCGGTCGCTCCGCGAAGGCCCTGCGGCCCGAAGCAAGCAACACCAATAAATGTCCTGGCGAAGAACCCAACCAATTGCAGTTGTGATCACCGTCGTTGCGGGTTTCGCTTTCGGGGGATATCGTCTTCGCGCTTAGTAGGGCATGTCCCTCTACAGGGGGGAAATTCAAACATCGCTTTTAATATTCAGGGGACGATGTTTTGATAATTCCTTGACTAGTTTAAGATATGTTTTGAAAACTTTAATTTCGTCGTCCAAATCCGCCTGTGCGACCTAATCATGGTGACATGACGCATGCGAAGCGCTGCGGTGTGTAAAGAAACGTGCATGCGGCCTGCGGCCACTGGGAAGTCCGGTGAGTTCCCTATGGGGCCACGAAACGCAGTACTGGGTTCAAGCCGGGCGTGCTCCTCTACAGGAGGGATAATTTTAAATAACCAAATTCTAGACGCTTCGCGTATCCCCACCAGCCCGTCCAGAAACGACGCCCAGGCGAGTAGAGGGTCGTCCTGAGGGGCTTTTCGGCGTCTTGGGTGCCTCGGGGGGACCTCTTTGGGCCGTTTGGGATCCTCTTGGGGGCCTCCTGGGGGCCTCTTGGGATCATCTTGGGGCCATCTTGGGGCCTCTTGGTGCCTCCTGGGCGCTTCTTGGGGCCATCTTGGAGGAAATCGATCAAAGAAGAGGGGAGCTTCAATTAGTGCTGCCCCCTCTGGGGGCCAACATGGGGCCAAAACCTTAGTAAAATCAATGATTTTGGCTTCCTCGGCGAGGCCGTTTTGGACGCTCTGACCGCTCCCCGCCCCCCCTGTCCAGGTCAGTGGGGAGGGGGTAGGGGGAGGGGTAAACCCCTCCCCGAAGGGGAAGAAGGAGGGGTGGAAGAGGAAACGCTCTAAACCACCGACGCCCAGAGGGCTGGCGGGATTATATTCAGTGGACGACGTGTTGAGTATGTATTGTCTATGTTTGAATACGTTCCCTACCTAGGCTCTGTCTAGACGGGTTCTTACTCGGTAAGCTTAAAGGGCTGGGCAGTGGGGGCCGGCCCGGGCGGTTTCCCCAGTTTCCGCCCCGCGGTTCCCCCAGTCCCCTGGGAGTTGTAGCTTTAGCTTTAGCTTTAGCTTTAGCATTTGCTTAGCTTTAGCTTAGCGTTGGCTTAGCTTTAGCTTAGCTTTAGCTTGTATTTAGCTTAGAGTTAGCTTAGTTGTAATGTAGTTGTAGTTTAGTGTTTGCTTAGCTTTAGATTAGCTATAGCTTAGCTTTAGCTTAGCTTTATGTAAGCGTTATCTTATATTTAGCTTAGATTTAGCGTAGTTTTAGTTTGGCTTTAGTTTAGCGTCAGCTTAGCTTTAGTTTAGCTTCAGTTTAGCTGTAGCTTAGAATTAATTTAGATGTAGCTTAGCTGTAGCTTAGCTTTAGCTTTAGCTTAGCTTTAGCTTAGCTTTAGCTTAGCGTTAGCTTAGCTTTAGCTTAGATGTAGCTTAGATTTAGCTTAGCTTTAGCTTAGCTTCAGCTTAGCTTTAGCTTAGGTTTAGCTTCGCTTCAGCTTACTTTTAGCTTAAATTTAGCTTAGCGTTAGCTTAGCTTTAGTTTAGCTTCAGCTTATATTTAGCTTGACTTCAGCTTAGCGTTAGCTTAGCTTTAGCTTAGCTTTAGTTTAGCTTTAGCTTAGCTTTAGCTTAGCTTTAGCTTAGCTTTAGCTTAGCTTTAGCTTAGACTTAGCTTGACTTTAGCTTAGCTTTAGCTTAGCTTCACTGTTACTACTAATGCTGCTTTCCTAGGGGCTCCAACTCCTAGGTAGGGTCGCACTGGGATCATATTTTTGTTCTTCAAAATCCGCCTGCAGAGGGACATGCCCGACCTAATACTGTGTTGGGACGCGCGAACACCGCCAATGACGCCTTCGGTGGAACTCCCTATGGGGCCACGAAGCGAAGCACTGAGTGGGGGAGACGCATACGACCAACGCATTGGGGCCTTCGGTGGAGCTCCCCATGGGGCACCGAAGCGTTGTAATTCGCGGGGGAGACGCATGCAAACGCCGCCATTGGGACCTTCCTTGTCCGCGGGGCTCCTTATAGGGCCAAGAAGCGCTATAATGGGTGGAGGAGACGCATGCGAACACCGCACCGCCACTAAGGCATCCGGTTGAGCCCCTTTATGGGCCACGAAACGCTGTAGTGGGTGGTGGAGACGCATGCGAACACTGCCATTGAGGCCTTCAAGCGCTGTACTGGGCGCGGGAGACGCGTGCGAACACCGCAACTGGGGCCTTCGGTAGAACTCCGTATGGGGCCACGAAGCGTTGTATTTGGTGGGGGCGACGCAAGCGAATACCGCTGCTGGGGCATGCGGTGAAGCTCCCCATGGGGCCACGAAGCGTTGGGTGGAGGAGCCGTACGATGATGCGGATGATGATGACGATGATGACGACAATGGCGGTCATGGGAGGGGCATGGCAGCGGGAGGGAGGGCAGGGGTAGGGATGGGAGGATAGGGAGGAGGAGGGAAAGGAGGAGGAGGAGGAGGAGGAGGAGGAGGAGCAGGAAGAAAAAAAGGAGGAAGAGGAGGAGGGGGACGCGGAGGGGGAGAAGGAGGAGGAGGAGAAGGAGGAGGAGGAGGAGGAGGGGTTCTGGGCTTCCCCCCCCTTCGCACGCCACCCTCGCCCTTCGCCTCCGAACGCGGGGCTGTGACTCTCCAAAAGGGGGACCCAATACCACAGGATGGTGGGGAAGCATGGGCGTGAATAAAAAACTAGAAAGCCAGGGCTTCGCAACCTTCAACATGCGGAGCCGTTTCTTGGAAGGCAGCGGCCTTGCTAGAAGGGCCTGGCGGCTTCGAAAAAGGCCTTGAGACATCGGACGGGCTTCTAAGGAGCCCCCTGCATTCTTGGACCCCCCCCCGCCTCACAAGGCCGCCCCCTCGAGCCACCCTCCCGTGGGAGCCGCCCACATGCGAGCGACGGAGAAAGTGCGGGGTCGACTGCGCGGACTTTAGCGCGGAAGGTCGTGCGTGAACGCCTTCATTTCCAGTGCAGCGCGCCGCGCTGGCAGCCCGCGTAAGCCGCGGCGTGAGGTCGCTATCTCGTCTCGCGTGAGACCCGCTTCCTCTCGTTGCTCGGGTGATGCCCGGAGACAAGTGGATACCGATACGGCTGCTCCCCAGACCTATACTGGGGTGCGCGCGGACCAGAATTTCATGGAACTTCCGGCCGTGGCGACGGGGGCTCTCCCGGACGAGCAGCGGTATCGGTACTCTTCCTTGCTCTGAACCACAGGTGATGCCTGGAGACTGGTCCTGCCCAGCCTGCGGCGACCTCCAGTTCGCCAGGAACACGAACTGCCGCAGGTGCGGCGCTGGCAAGCCGGCGGATGCCGGCGGTACGCCGGGCGGCTTCGGCGGCGCGCCGGGCGGCTTCGGCGGAGGAGTGGCGGCCTTCCAATTCCTCCTCCTCCTCCTCCTCCTCTTCCTCCTCCTCCTCCCCTTATTATTATTAGTATTATTATCATGATTCCTTCCTTTATTCCTTCCTTCTTTCCTTCCTCTTTCCTTTCTTCCTCTCCTCTTCATCCTCCGCCTCCTCAACTTCTCCTACGCGCCACCAGCCTTTTGCTTTTCTTCATTGATAAACAGAGAGAGAACAGACATATATATATACACACACATACATACATGCATATAGCTTCTCCTTGTTGCATCTCTTCACGTGTCGGCAGGGCGGGCCGGGCATTTGGGCTCTAAAGTCCCTCACTGATAATGATGTTGGGCTCTACATTCGCAGCACTGAACCAGGTGTGGGGGTCTGCTTTCCAAAAGGCGTTGTCGCCTCAGTGCCACGAGCATTCATTCTAAAAGCTTGCAATGTCACGCCGATGAAATGGGTGCGTTTTCGAAACGGAGCTCTCGCCTCAGCGCCGTGCACACTCATGTTGGCAGCTTGCGACTGCTATGTCCCAGGATGGAGAACATACCGTTTTCAACATGGGGCTCCCTCCTTGGCGCCGTGCGCATTCGCCTGAAAAGCTTGCAGCTGCGCTTCCTTTCCAAATGAGACTATCGGTTGCGACTGCTTTGATATACGTAACGGAGAAAAACGGAACGCATGACGGCAGCTGCACGGGTGGAGGAGCGGCTACTGTTTTCGAAATGGGGCTCTCACTTGAAGATTTGCCTCGGAGCTCAGGAACATAAGCGCAGACATGTGCGGGGGGGGGGGGGGCGGACCCTGTTTCAAAAACGGGGACGTCGCTGAACGCAACATGAAGCAGTCTGATGCTACCACTAAGTCGGGCCGGCCCCTCTACAGGAGGAATCTTCAAACATAGTCCAAAAATTGGCCCGCGGACGATTTTTGGAGCACTTCTTGACCATGTTGGTGCATTTTTTGATGATTTTTTTGTTTTTCGTCAACACTCCCCCTGTAGGAGGACAGGCCCGACTTGGTGCTACCATTCTCGCTGTCCTGACTGCGCACTGGGCGGCGGGTGCAGCGCAACTCCCTGTCGAGCCGGGGGCATCTCGCCCAGGTGGCAGGGACCCTGCTTCAAAACGGAGACATCGTTGAACGCCTCATGGAACAGTCTGGTGCTACCGTTAAGTCGGGCCTGTCCCTCCACAGGGGGGATATTCAAACATAGTTTTAACAAAAACAGTCTGGGGACTACTTTTTTAGTATTTTTGGGAATCTTTTGATTACTTTTTGAACGTCTTCCATTTTTCGTCCAAAATCCCCCTGTAGGGGGACAGGCCGGACCTGGTGCTACAGTTCTCGCTGTCCTGGCTGCGCACTCGGCGGCGGGGTGCAGCGCAGCTCCCTGTCAGGCCGGGGGCCCTCTCGCCCAGACGGCAGGGTCACGGGGCGTGCTGGTCTCTCACGGGCGGCGCGTCCCGTGGTGACAGGAGCGCGTCTTGGGGCTTGCGAGGAGGGCCGGAGGGCTCCAAGCGGGGTTTGGGGGGAAGGGGGTTTTCCAGAGAGCCCCCCCCCAGGGGCCTCGGAACCTCGTCAGAACAAGGGGTGCGAAGCCCCTGAGTGCCTCTCCTGGAAAACCCCCTCCCCAAAAGACCCCTTTGGGACCCTCCGGGAGGGGATTGGGGAAAGGAGGGCGTATTGCAGTATGGCGGACGCATCTTGGGATGACTCTGGGTGGGTATAATGGCCGGAGCCATGATGTCTGCCAGATGCTGGGCGCTTCTCGTAAGCCCACCAGCCCACCCAGAAGCGATGCCCAGGCCAGCTGCCCTCATCAGGGATATGGAGAAACGTGCGGTGGAAAAAAAAGCTGGGGAAGCCGTCATACCCCAAGAGGGGGAAAATGGAGGCGAATTCGGAGCAGGGGGAGGAGAGGGAGTAGGAGGACGGCGAGGGGGAGCGGGAGGAGAGCGGAGGGAGGAGGAGCAATAGGCGGATGAGGACGAGGACGAGGATGAGAGGATGATGATGAGGATGAGGATGAGGATGTTGCTGATGGTGATGCTGATGATGATATTGATGATATTGATGATATTGATGATGATGATGATGATGATGATGATGATGATGATGATGATGAGGATGAGGATGAGGATGAAGATGAGGATGAGGATGAGGATGAGGATGAGGATGAGGATGAGGATGAGGATGAGGATGAGAATGAGGATGAGGATGAGGATGAGGATGAGGATGAGGATGAGGATGATGATCATGATAATGACGATGCTGATGCAGATGATGATGATCATGATCATGATCCTGATCATGATTATGATGTTGTGGATGATGGTGATGATCTGATGACGATGATGATTATGATGATGATGATGATGATGATGATGATGATGATGATGAGGAGGAGGAGGAGGAGGAGGAGGAGGAGGAGGAGGAGGAGGAGGAAGAGAAGGAGGAGGAGGAGAGCTTCTTGGATTTATCTTGGGGGGTCTGGTGGGCCTCTTGGCGCTCCTGCGGGTCTTCGGGGGCGCCCTGGGTGCCTCGGGGGAGCCTCTTGGGACCTCTTGGGGGTCTCTTTGGAAGCTTCTTGGAGACCTCCTGGGGCCCCCTTGGGGCCTCCTGTGCGCCTCCTGGTGCACTCTCGAGGGCCTTGGGGGCCATCTTGGAGGAGATCGGTTACAGAAGGCGGGGTAGTCAATTCGTAAATGTGACTCCCCCCCTCAGGAGGCCAAACTTGGCCCAAAACCTAGCTAAGTACAATCAATGAGTTGTGCCTTCTTGCCGAGGCCGTATTGGACGCTTTAATGTGTTGCGATCCCCCCCCCACTGGGGGGTTGGTGGTAGGGGAGGGTGTCAAGACACCCTCCCCCCCCGCAAGCTGCCTCGCTCACTCCCACCCGCCCTCCCAACGCATAGGTAGCACCCGAGCCTCAGAATGTTCAGCGGTCGTCTATGGATGGGCAGCTAATGGAAACCAACACAGACCCCATGTGCGCGAGGCTGGGGCGAGTTGCGCCACGTGTGCCAGTCGTGCCAAGCCCGCCACGCGCGCCAGGTGCGCCAGGCACCCCTGGGACCCAGGCGTGCTAGGCTCGCCTGGCGCGCCAGATGCGTCACGAGCTCCACGTGCGCCATGTGTACCGCATGGTCCAGCCGCGTCAGGTGCGCCACGTTCGGGGCACGCGCAGAGGGTGCCAGGTGAACCCGCGCACGTGACACCACACATCGGGAAACATGTCGGCCGCCACCATGTTTCTCGAAAACCAATGCACAGTCGCGGCAGGAAGGCCATCATGGTGTCTGCTGGGCCTGCGCACAGCAAGCAATATGCCAGCACCCCCGCCGTCCTTGTCCAAAACAGGTGAATGGAGAGTGATCGCGGGGTGGCCGCGCGTGATCCAGATTTAGCCGCGATTTGCATGTTGCTTCGTTTTTGTTGACAGGGGCGGTGACCTTGCGCACAGCAGGCAATATCAGCCCCCCCCCGCCGCCCCTGCCGAAAAAACAATACAAAGTGCTCGCGGTGCCCACGATTATGAGCCAAGATTTTGCCCCCACGTGTACTTTGTATTGTTTTTCGACAGAGATGGTGGGGGAGGGTCATTGTTCCTGGTTGGCTGCCGGTCGGCTGGGAAAGGGGGTGGAGAAGAGGGAAAATGGAAGAGGAAACGCTCTGAACCACTCACGTCCTAAAGGGCTGGTGGATTTCATGGCCACCTCTTTATCAGGCGATCGCAAACATGGATCAAGGGGGCGTGGATTAGCGACGGGTCCCGTTTCCATCGGAAATCGCGGATTTCCGCCTCCGAGCGGGGCGGCACCGGCCGCACTTTGGGGAGAGCACCTCCCCGATCCATGGATTTGGCGACCGCGCGCCAAATCCATGGATCGCCAATCCCAAGCCAGGCCTGTCCCTCTACAGGGGGGATACTCAAAAGTAGTAAAACATAATCTGGTGACGATTTTTTAGTATCTTTTGGCCATTTGGGGGTATTTGTTGATCATTTTTTGTTTTTCATCCAAAATCCCCCTGTAGGAGGTCAGGCCCGACTTAACGCTAATCCATGTTTGCGTGCCCCCGACTCCGTCTTCTCGGGCCGGACGAAGGGGGGGATTGGGAAAGGGGGGGGTACGAAATCTGCTGCATTCAGCTGGTTTCGGCCCTACCGAGGGGCCCATTCCTCGATACATGGCCGCCTCCGGCGCCCGGAGGCGCCGGGAAAGTCAGCTACGTGAGCTGATTCTCAAACCCCCCTTTTGGTATTCCCCCCCTTTCGCCCGACTGAACGCTAATCCATGCTTGCGCGCCCCCGACTCCTTCTTCGCTCCGCACGTCCCTGGCTTGGCATCGCTCGGACGTGTGCATTTTTTCCTCGGCGAGGACCATCGAGGAGCATCCTTAATCATTTGGCGAAAAAACCACGCACGAATCCGAAAAAAGCACAGGGAATGGACGTCCGAGCGATGGCCAGCCGGGCCCCCCGTCCCTTCGCCCTCCGCCCACCAGGCGCCGCCCCGCCCCTCCTCCCTGGGCGGGGCCAGGACGACAAGGAGAAGTCGCCAGCGTCACGTCGGGCCTGCCCCTCCATCCACAGGAGGAATATTCCAAAATAGTCAACGAAAATAGTCTCGGGGCGATTTTTTTTGTTGTTTTGATTTTTTGGGGGGCATTTTTTGAATACTTCAAATTTTTCTCGCAAAATCCCCCTCGTAGGAGGACATGCCCGACCTAAGGATACATCGCTAGCGCCCCGGAACGCTCTGCCCAGCGTTGGGGAACGCTCCGAGAAGGCCGCGGCGCCCGATGCACGCTCCAGAACCGCCGGATCTCTCTGGATCCCGACGGCAGCGAAGAGGTCTAATTTAATTGGTCCACGCTCCCTCGGAGGCGTGCCCCCATCATCCCACGGTCTCCGTTTGCTCCCAGATGCTTCCTCGCCTGGGCCTCCTGCCCTGGCCCCCTGCGATGAGGCCGGGGAGCGGTTTTGTGGGCGGCGGCGTTGGCAGCCCTATCCGGACCACGCCAGATCCCCGAGTCTCGGAGGTTTATAGGCCTCCTGCCCTGACACGTCGATTAGTGAATTGGCCGTTTGCGGTTCGCGAGAGGGCGTCGCGGCCGTCATTTTTGCGGGTCCAGCTCCGTCGGTTTCGGCCCCAGGCCGTTTTCACTACGGGGAGGTCTACTAAAGGGAGGTTTGTCCACCGCCGAGAGCCTATCCCTGCCTGGGCTTTGTCTAGGCCTGGGCCTCTCCGCCCCCTCCGCCCTCCGCCCTCGGCCCTCCCGCGGCGGAGGAGCCGCCTTCAGCGCCGGGGACTGGAACTGCCCCGCCTGCGGCGACCACCAGTTCGCCAGGAGTCCAGGAGGAAAAAATACCACCCCGACCCCCATAAGTCGACGAGGACGACGACAGCGACGACGTGCGCTGCTCCGAGGCCGGCGTTGGCTGCAACAGCCCTAGGCGTTTGCGGAGCAGCTCTGCCCCGTGCGATCCCTCCCTTGGGTGCGCTTAGTGCCGCGAGAGCTTCTCCGGCCGGGGTGCTCATGATGAGGGCGCTTCTTCTCAGGAGCGAAGGAAGGACGCACACGTGCGTGCATCCACGTCGTCTTCGAGAGTGCGCATTGCACGAACGTTCGTATCACGAGGTTGCTCTCGCGGACTGGCGTGCCGTGCCGGACGGGGCAGCACGAGGATAGATCCGTTCCGGTGCGTTCCGGAACGCTCTCAGGGCGTTCCGGCACGCTCTGAGAAGGCCGCGGCGCCCGAGACATGCTCCAGAGCCGCCGCACCTCAGAGATCCTCGACTGATCCTCACCCGATGTTATCCCCGCCCTGGCTTCGTCTTACTGTTTTGATGCGCGGGCCGGGCGCGCACGTCCTGTGCGGGCTCCCTGGCTCTGCTGCCCTCCGAGGAACATGCAGTGCCGGAAGTGCGGCACGCCCCGCCCCTCGTGAGGCCGCGGCGCGCTCTATAAGTGGTGCGCCTGCGTGCCACCACCACCACCACCATAAGCTGCAGGGGGGAATGAGGAGGAGGAGGAGGAGGAGGAGGAGGAGGAGGAGGAAACGGAGGAGGAGGAGGCGGAGGAGAAGGAGGAGGAGGAGGAGGAGGAGCAGGAGGAGCAGGAGGAGGAGGAGGAGGAGGAGGAGGAGGGTGGGGGACCGCCTCCCCCTCCTACTGGTGGTGGTGGCGTTGGAGAACACGCCCACCACTCTGTAAGCCCCCTGCGGGGTGGCCTCGTGCCGCAGGGGTGGCCCCTGCGCGGCGGGGCGCACGGCGTGCCCCCTCGCTGCTCGAGCCTGTGGGGCGGCGGCGTGCTCGCCCTCAGGGCCTCCGAGCTTCCTCCGTCCCCGCTGGCTCGTCCTCTTCCGCCCTGCCTCCTCCTCCTCCTCCTCCTCCTCCTCCTCCTCCTCCTCCTCCTCCTCCTCCTCCCCCTCCTCCTCATCCTTCTCTTCCTCCACCTCCTGCTCCTCCTCCTCCTCCTCCTCCTCCTCCTCCTGAGCTCGCCCTCCTCCTCGGGCTCGTCCTCCTCACCCCTACCTTCTCAGGCGCCTCCCCTCCTCGTCCTCCTCCTCCTCCTCCTCCTTCTCTTCGGCCTTGCGGCCAGGGGCCACTTCATCCTCTTCGTCCTGTTCCTCCTTGCCGTCCTTCTCCTCCCTGTGTTCCTCCTCCTCCTTTTCCTCCCGCAGCGTTTCATGAAGTTCCCTCCCTCATTCCTTCCTGCATCATCTATCACCTCGTTCAGCTGCGCCCCCGCGTCCTCCCTCATGGCGCGCCACAGAGTAGACGAATTATTTGTTTCTGGCAGGGATGCAGATTCTTGCCAGGCGCAGTGCGCACGCGCGCTCGCTCGGGAGTTCAGAATACCATCACCGTCATCGTCGTCATCCTCCTCGTGCCTCGTCCTCCTCTCTGTTCGGACGTCGCCGGACGACAACGACGAACGGGACGGTATTGGGGGGCGGTATGGGGGCCGGAGTTCAGGGAGCTCCGAGGTGGCCAGGGAGGCGGACGACAACGGCGAACGACCGACTACGAAAATACAGGGAGCCGAGCTCCAGAGCACAGCTGCGCAAGAGATTACAGACAAATTCTAGACGCTTCCCACTAACTCTACGGCGGCGGCCCGCCCCCCCCCTCTCCTGTTCGGCTGCCCTCACCGCGTCGTCCATGGGCGCTTTTTTCACACACGACCGACTCAATGCCCGCGGCTGCTAGCCGCACCCCAACTCGCCTCGGCAGGTCTCTGGCGAAACCATTTCCCACCATCCCGCGGCTGTTAGCCGCACCTCAGGTGAGCGTCGGCAGGTCTCCGGCGAAACCATTTCCTACCATCCCGCGGCTGTCAGCCGCACCCCATCTGAGCATCGGCAGGTCTCAGGCGAAACCATCTCCCGCCATCCCGGGGCTGTTAGCCGCACCCCCGCAGGGCCACGGCAGGTCTCAGGCGAAACCATTTCCTACCATCCCGCGGCTGTTAGCCGCGCCCCAGGTGTGCGTCGGCAGGTCTCAGGCGAAACCATTTCCTACCATCCCGTGGTTGTCAGCCGCACCCCAGCTGAGCACTCTCCACCTTTCAGCGGTTGTTAGCCACCCCCCTTTTGAAGATCTCAAGTTCCCGCGGCTGTTAGCCGCCCCCTCTTCTGCAGGACGCCTCAGGCCCTCCGTGCTCCTCCTGGGGCACGCGGGCCTGTAATTCCCCTATACGCCGGCGGTTCCGCGACGGCCTTGGAGGACGGCCGGATGGACAGCTCCCGGTACTTCGGTGCGGCCCGCGGCTGGCGCCTCCGTGCACTTCCCTGGCACACTCTTCGCTGGCGCGGGCCTTCGTCTGGGTCCTCGCCCCGCTGGTGCATGATCGCGGTATTCGACGCTCGTTTCTGGCAGGTTCATGGCCTTCGACGCCTGGCAGCTGACGACGCAGATTCAGGCCACACTATTGCTCCATTCGTTGCGCATGAACCTGGAGGATGACGTGTCCCTGGCGTTCACGGACTCGGCCCTCCGCCTCTGAGCGGCGCTGCGTGAGTTTCCGTTTCTCCCTCCTTTCGTCGTCCTTGTCTTCTCGTCGGCTCCTCGTTCTCCTTCGCTTCGCTTGCGATGCCGTGGTGTGTCGCCTGACCATATTCGCCACCCGAGCGCAGCTGCACCGTAGTGGCCCCGTCCTTTTCCGCGCTCGCCGGCGACAGTTGCGCTGTGCTCTTGCTCCGGCTTACGCTCTTCGCGCGACTTCAGGACGCCGCGCGGCTGTCCGCATGCGATCGCGAGCAAACAGGTAGCCCCGCCAGCCCATCCCGAAACGATGCCCAGAGGAATTGCCTCGATCAGGGAAATGGGCAGCGCGCAGAGGAAGGGTCCCCCAGCGGAGGTCTCTTGGAGCGTTTTGGGGCCTCCCGGCGGTCCTCGACGCCTCTTAGAGCGTTCTGGGTGCCTCGGAGAGCTTCTTGGGGCCTCTTGGGGGTCTCTTGGGGGCCTCTTGGAGGCCTCTTGGGCGCCTGTTGGGGCCTCCTGGGGCCCCCTGGGCGCGTCCTGGGGCCCTCTTGAAGCGCTCTTGTGAGCCCCAGGAGCGCTCTCGGAGCCCGCTTGGGCCATATTGGAGCCATCTTGAGCCCTCGGATGGCCATCGGAAGCGAAAAGGCGAGAAAGCAAAAAACATAGATGTGCCTTCGGTGTTGGCAGGATGTTGGCCTCTTCGGGGCCTCCTGGGGGAGCTTTCTGGCCACTTGGAGCCGTTTTGGAGCGGTTCGGGGGCCTCTTGGAGCATCGTGGGGGGCCATCTTGAGGCATCTTGGGATATCTCGAGCCATATTGAATGTCAGCTTGGGCTCGCCCAAGCGCTCCTGGAGTCATCTTAAGCAGTGCCCCCCCAGGAGGCCAAAATGTGGCCGAAACCTTAATACAAAAAAACAAGTATGGTGGCATTGTCGCCGAGGCATCTTGGAGCGTATTGGGTGCCTTTGGAGACCTCTTGGGGTTTCTTGTGGCATCCTGGCCACCTCTTGGGGCACCCTTGGGGGCCTTGGGAGCGCTCGTGGGACCATCTCGGAGGAGATCGATCAAAGAAAGGGGGGGGTCCTCAATTAGCTTCGCCCCCCCAAGAGGCCAAAATGGGGCCAAAACCCAAGTACAACCAATGATGTGGGTTTCCTCGCCGAGGCCGTTTTGGACGCTCCGACCGCTCGCGACATGCCCCGCCCAGGTCGAAGGGAGGGGTTAGAGGGAGGGGTCAAGACGCGCCCCCCCGCCCGCAAGCCGTCTCGCTCACCCCACCCGCCCTCCCAACACATACGTAGCACCCAAGCCTGGCCCGAGCCGCAGCAGATTCAGCAGTCGTCTTTGGATGGGCAGCTGCTGGGGGCCAATCCGCCGCCGCCGCCTCCAGGGGCTGATTAGGCACCTGTCGACAAGTTGGGTTCTGGTGCCGAGGGCGTTTCTTGTTGAGCGCAGCCTGGGGGATCCGTGGGTGGAGCGTGGTAAGTTCCGCGGTAATATGCTGAGCCCTGGTGGGTCCAGCTGGTGATATACGTGGTAGGCGGCCTGTTTGTGATGAGGCCGTTCGTGAACCTGTTCGGGATGTTGCCGTTCGTGTACTTGCTCCTGATGACGTCGTTCAGGTACCTGGCCGCCTGAGTGTTCGTGAGCATGTTCATGAATTTGTTCATGAGGCTGTTCGAGAGGACGTTGTTCATGCACCTTGTTGTGAATATGGTATTGCACTCGTTCGTGATAAAGCAGTTCGTAAACCTCTTCGAGAGGATTCTGGCGTCGAGGGGATCGCGGTGGCGTCGCAGGAACCTGTCGCACGGGATTGGCTGGATGACGCCCTGTGGCTGCGCATTGGCGACGGGCTGTCGCGATTGATCCCAGTAGTGACGACTGCGCCGCCCACAGGGCGACCAACAACGACAGCCACCCCCTCGAGAGCTGCTGCGGCCTCGTCTCGTTCCCCGCCGAGGTGTGGTGACTGCGACGGGCGCTTGGAGGTCCTCGCGTTCCGATGCGAGTTGGAGTGCTGGATTTGTGACCGCGGTGCCGGGCGCGCGGCGCCTGGCGTCAGCCGTGCCGGGGGACTCGGTGCTTCGAGCGCGACCCCGCCTCGTGCCCGCCCCGCCGGGGGCCGCGACAGCGACGGAGGCAGTGGCCGAGCGGCTGCCTCTGTCTGCCCTCCCTCCTCGGCAGACCCTGCTCCTCGCCTGTTCCGTGCCTCCCCCCCGCCTCGCCCCCCTCTCTCCTGTCCTTCCTGCCTGCCGCCTGCGCGTCAACTCTAGCACTCGTCGCTCCGAGGTCAGGACCGCTTGCTCGACTCCGGGCGCCCCGCCCGTGGGGAATCGCGCTCGGGCGCACGATGGGTCGCACATCGCGCAATCTTCTCTCGAGCTTCAGCTGTCTGATCTTGGAGACGAGACATTCGGCCCGATATCGATCCGCCGCCGCCTCCTCCTCGGCGTCGGCATTATCCTCGTCGCCGTCGCAATCGTCGCCGAAATCATCGTTGTCGTCGCCGCCGTCGTCGAAATCGTCGTCGTCGTCGCGTTCGGCGTCGGCGTCGTCGTCATTGTCGTCGGCAATTCCCGGGCATACGCAAGAACAGAGAGGTTTGACGGGCCCATCCATACCTTGACGGTCCAGCTTCGGCGGTATGTATGCAACGGGCGTTCGCGACAAACTTCAGATTGGGTCTGGTCATTTTTCTGACGGCCCCGCCAGGCAAACCCAAGTCCCCCGAATCCGCGTCGGCGCTATCGTCGTCGGCGTGGCCGTCGCAATCGTCGCTGTGGTAGTCGAGTCATCGTGCCGTCTTCATCGTCGCCGTCGAAGCCGTCGTCGTCGTTGTCGTTGTCGCACGCCCCAAAATTCAGGCATGCCTATTATGAGGATAAATCGCGCCAGAGGCTTCCAGAACGCTCTCAGAAAGTTCCAGAGCGCTCTGAGACGGCCGCGGCACCCGATACGTTTTTCAGAATCGCCGGATCTCAGAGACCCCCGAGTTATCCCGAACCGATGTTGTCCTTGCCCTGGGCTCGTCACACCTCCTTTCCCCGAGGTGGTCACAGGCCAGCCCGTGTCCCGTCATTTTCCTGACGGCCCCGTCTGCCCAGCTTGAGTCCCCCGAACCCGCGTCGGCGTTATCCTCGTTGCTGTTGCCGTCGCAATTGTCGCCGTCGTCGTCGTCGAGGTCGTCATCGTCGCCGTCGCCGTTGTCGAAACCGTTCTTGGCAGGGCCCTGACCCCTCCCACCGTCCGGAGGGGGTGTAGCGGCCAAAAGGCGTCCACCGTGTCTGGACGAGTGACCGATGGGATCTGTGCGGAGTCTCTCTTCTTTGTTGTTTCCCTCTGCACAATCGTGCTTGCCAAAACGCCCCCAAACGTACCGTACTCTGTCCGAGTTCGTCCCTGTCTTGACCTCGTTTTCGCTTATCCGCCCGAGGTGGTCACCGTCGCAATCGTTGTCGTAGTCGTCGAAGTCGTCGTCGTCGTCATCGTCGTCGTCGTCGTCATCGTCGTCGTCGTCGCCGTCGTCGTCGTCGTCGTCCTTCGTCGTCGTCGTGGATGCCGTCGGCGTCGTCGTCGTCGTCGCCGTCGCAAGTCCCCCAAGGTGGCCACGGGCCCGCCTGGGCAAGTGCGCACCAGGACCAGCGTGGATGTGGACGGCCCCGCGAGCCCGAAGCAGGGCCAACGCGCGGAGGCGCAGGGCGAGGACGCGGCGTGCGGCAGTCCAGCTGGCGCCGCCACAGGCTCGACGGGCTGGGGGCTTCAGAGGGGTATTTAATGATGACGTAGTTAAAGCAATGTCAATAAACATAGTAGCACGAGTACCTCCATCTGTACCCATAGCACTAATAGTAGTAGTAGTAGTAGTAGTAGTAGTAGTAGTAGGAGTAGGAGTAGGAGTAGGAGTAGGAGTAGGAGTAGGAGTAGGAGTAGGAGTAGGAGTAGGAGTAGTAGTAGTAGTAGTTGTAGTAGTAGCAGTAGCAGTAGCAGTAGCAGTAGCAGTAGTAGTAGGTAGTAGTAGTAGTAGTAGTAGTAGTAGTAGTAGTAGTAGTAGTAGTAGTAGTAGTAGTAGTAGTAGTAGTAGTAGTAGTAGTAGTAGTAGTAGTACTACTACTACTACTGCTACTGTAGTAGTAGTAGTAGTAGTAGGAATAGTACTGAAACTAGTACTAGTAGTAGCACGAGTACCTCCATCTGTACCATAGCACTAACAGTAGTAGTAGTAGTAGTAGTATCAGTAGTAGTAGTAGTAGTAGTAGTAGTAGTAGTAGTAGTAGTAGTGGTAGTAGTAGTAGTAGTAGGTAGGTAGGTAGGTAGGTAGGTAGGTAGGTAGGTAGGTAGGTAGGTAGGTAGTAGTAGTAGTAGTAGTACTAGTAGTAGTAGTAGTAGTAGTAGTAGTAACAGAAGTAGTAATAGTAGTAGTCGTAGTAGTAGTAGTAGTAGTAGTAGTAAAAGGAATAGTACTAAAACTAGTACTAGTAGTAGCACGAGTACCTCCGTCTGTACCCATAGCACTACTAGTAGTAGTAGTAGTAGTAGCAGTAGTAGTAGTAGTAGTAGTAGTAGGTAGTAGGTAGTAGTAGTAATAGTAGTAGTAGCAGTAGTAGTAGTAGTAGTAGTGGTAGTAGTAGTCGTAGTACTAGTACTAGTACTAGTACTAGTAGTAGTAGTAGTAGTAGTACCAGTACTAGAAATAGTATTAAAACTAGTACTAGTACTAGTACTAGTACTAGTACTAGTTCTAGTAGTAGTAGTAGTAGTAATAGTAGTAGTA